TATTGAAATATTATCACAATCAAAGAAAAAACATAAATTTTATTTAAAGAGATTAAATATTATAAAAACTTAGATCATACGAGTTTAATATTATTATTATATTCATTAATATTATTAAATTTGAAATAAGTATTATTATTATATAAAAAATAGATTTAATTTGAAAGTTAAAATCAATTATTGTTGTCAATGTTATTGTAATAATAATAATTATTATTATTATTAGGTCTGGCTGAGGTGTCAAATCTAGGTAATGTGGGTCTAGTAGGGGTGTTAGATCCAAGTTTTTATTATTATTATTATTATTAAAAATATTATTATTATTGAAGAAAAATTATAAATTTGATTTCAAGGGATAAAAAACTATAAGAACTTGGAATAAGTGTAATATTATTATTCATATTAAAAATATTACTATTGGTATTATAATTAATATTATAAATATTATTATTGATTTATTATACATGTATATGTGTGTGTATTATATCAATATTAAGATATGTATATATTATTTTAAATTAAAAATAAATAAGTTCTACTTATATATCTATATATTACAAATATATATCTTGAGATAAGTTTAAGTCAAGTTTTTGATTAAGTTTAACAATATTTATATCATATCTATTATCCATAAAGTAAGATAATTATAAAAACATACCCACTTATTTAGGTTGGTATTCATGGAATTCGGGTTAAATTGGCATTCCTAATTATATCTTCATTATTATTATTTTTTTATTGTTCAAATATTTTATATTTTAATTTATTTATAAATAAATTTGAATATATCAAATAAAAAACATTTTATTATGAAAATGTGAATAATTTTATAAAAAAAATTAGTATGTTTATTTTTTAAAACATATAAAATAAACCTAGTTTACTACACTAAAATAAAATTTTGAACAATTTTTTTATAGGTATATTTAAAATCCGAATGTTTGATGCATTAAAATTTTTAAAAAATAAATATTTTTTTATTATATATTGCTTTTCAATTTAGGAATTTTGTTTTTATTTAGATTTTTCTATTCAGTATTATTGAGTATTTTTAGTTTTATTTTCCTATTTGATACTAATTGGGTTTTCTAGTTTTTTTTATATATAAAAGGGTTGTCATAATTTTTTGATATTTATGATATGAATAAATAAAATTAAATATTTTAAAAATCTTTTTATATTTATGATGTGATCTTTAAAGATTTTGGCTTATAATAAACCATATTTCCCTTCACTTTTAATTTGTGTCACATAGTATGAGAATCCAATGATTCTTCATTATTTTTTGTTGTACGAAGTCAAACTGCCATGTTTGAAGGTCATGGAAAACATGCATCAAAGCCTAATAATTATTAGTGGTAAGTTAATACTATTATTAAAAATCTTTATGATAAATTCCATAATAAAATAACATCATGAGCACAAGGGTTATTGATAGTTGATAGAGTAGGTCACACATAAAAAATCATTTATTTTTTTGTCTAAGAAGATTCTACTTAAATAATATTATATTGAATATTTTCATGGTGAATATCGATTTCTATCTAAAGAGGTTTAGCCTCCGATATTCACCATGAAAATATTCAATATAATATTATTTAAGTAGAATCTTCTAAAGAGGTTTAGCCTCCCACAAACAATTTAAATTTAAGTACAAGTTCTTTACAACCCAAGAATACAGATGTAAAAGCTTTTTAGGATAATGCATATTTCCCTTTATTATTTGTATTTCTTCCCTTTTATTTTAGGAATTTTATTTTATTTTAATTTTCTATTCTTTATCTTTATGTTTTTCTATATAAAGGCTTATAATATTCTTTTCATAAATGAAACATGTATAAATAAAATTAAATATTTTTAGAAATTTTAAATAATTATTGTATTCTTCGTCTTTAAAACTTTTGACTTATAAATTTTTTTGTTATTCTTCACGCTATCTCAATAATAAAATAAATATAATTGTACATTAAAGTATAAATATGATAATAAATAATCTAATAATTTGATATTGATTGCATATATTTAGTGAAAATCTGTAGTTGAAAGCTTACAAATTTTGTAGACAAAAATAAAATTAGAAAATCCACCCGTAACTACCCTTTTATTTATATCAAATCGGGAAATAAGCTTTTTGTGAAGAAAATTTGATTAAAATTTACTGTGCTTGTAAAATTTAGTCTTCTCAACCCAAATAAATCAAATTGCATAACAATATTATGAGATGACTATAAATTAAACTTTTGGAAATAATCATTAAAATGTCTGAAGAGATTGTTTTTGAATTTTTTATGTATATTTTTTAATTCGAATACTCGAATACTCTAATGGATGACTATGTCCATTATTTTCTTAAAAGTTAGATTTATTTTAACTTTTTAAATATTTTAAAAAGTTTAATTTTCTTAAGAAATTAATTTTTGTCTTGAATATTTTTTTAAAAAAATCAATGACTGATTGATTATTGTAAAGAAATTTTATTACTGGAAATTCTTGAATTTTATATTTTTCAAAGAATATTAATCTTTTTTCCTTTCACATTAAAAAAAAAATTACTTGAGAAAATTAATATTTTTAATTCTTGCAAGTCTATGAAAACTTTATTTGGTATTAATGCAATTTAGTCCAATATGAATTGAATTGAGTGCACCTCTTTTCTTATAAATACGTGTTTTCCTACTTGGAATCCATGAATATATTTCCACAAGTATACATGCACTTACTGGTCCACTTTGTAGAGCTCTCTCTCGGGAGGTAAATTGCATAAAATCACGTCAAGAACTTCAATCAATAAATAGAAAATCAGAGACATAAAACGAAGAAAGAATAATGAGAGAGGTTCTCCATGATAGAATCTACCAAGAAGGTTGATGAATTTAAAGAGAAAAAAATAAGAGAGAAAGCATATGCCATTATTGGATTCCTCCCGGTATGAACATAAGCTTGAATGCAATGGAAGGTTCGGTTGGGATTCTTTATATATATATATATATGGAAACCGATTTGAAATAATAAAAAAGTCTTATGGATATTTTAAATTTGGAACTTTAAGGTTGGACTTCAAGTATACTGCCCTGCTAACCCAGAACGGTGCATCACCATATGAATGCGGAGGAGAGGAAAGCAGAGGCCATGTTTGAGCCCAAGTGTTATTAGAAGATAAAAAGGAAAGCCCGATGGACATGGAGGCTGAAGAAAACCATTATCCTTGCAAGTGTCACGAAACGGACAGCAAGGGCTGCTCCTCCTCATCCAGAAGATTGTCCAGCAACTCTCTTTCAGCTCTGAGGTGATAGTAGCATGCATCCTCTTCTTCTTGGACCAACCCCATTGTGTCTGTACCCTTCCATGTCTGTGGGGAGACTCAGACGTTGTTCTTGTTGTTCTGTTCCTCCTTACACAACGATGCTCGGCGGGACAAGAGGCGCAACACCAGGTACTGCAGCTCTTCTCATAAATCGAGTTTCCAGTAACGTTGCTGATGCTCCGCAATCCAAGCTCCCCTCTTCTACTCGATTGCCTTTCACTCCCAGCCATCTCAAATCTCTAGGGTTCAAGCCCTCCCCTCCTCACTTGGCCCTCCTCTCTCTATTGTTTCTTCTTTCTATGGTTAGCTTTCCAACCTCTTCTTTTCCTTTTCTTCCTCACTGCTGTCCAGTTTTCTCCGAGTAAGTAACATACAAGTGTACTCGTCCTCCTCGCAGGCTATTGGAGCAATTTTCTCTTTGGCTGCCATTCTTCTTGGATAATTAATATAACAATCCCATAAGTCGATGTACTGGTGCTCTGCATTCTTAAGTAAGCATATAGGATCCTATGCAATGATAAGAACAATGATGCAGGCTTTCAGAAGATTGGGAGCTTCTGTCAACAAATTGTCCCAAGTCGTCTCTGAAGAGGTGCCAGGAACCTTGTCTTCTCTCAAGCTCTCTGCCCGTGAGATTAATGAACTCACTCGACAACTTGCCAAGCTCAGGTTAGCTACACATCTTACTTTCCTAGCTCTCCTGCTCAATTCACCACGTTTCCATCTGAGAATCTCCTTGCTTGCTTATGCAATTTTGTAGTTAACAGGATTTTACATTTTTGAAGGCAAAAGATCTCCGCAACTGATCAGATTGAAAATTGGAAACAAAGCCAAAATCAATAAATATCATGGGCTAGCCCACTTCTTTTGGAAGCGGCTGCAACTGGCCTTGTGCAGAATCCGTTGGATTACTTTGTCTTGTATTTATATGTATTACTTGGATCTAACTTGTAAATCGAACATATAGAACGTCATAAATACAAAATATATGGGAAAAACTGTTGTTTTCTCTGTAGCGCCACAAAACGTGATAAATTATGTATGTCCAGCACCCATTATTTCATAATTAAGATTCTAGCTCTCATTCATCTTCAGTTACCTTCATCTGTACAGATATCTAACTCTTGATCTCCATGCTCTAATTGTATCCCTGAAGATTGCGTTTATCTCTTACAATCATACTTGACTGCTTAATTCGACTATCAATTTCCTATTACCGCATTATCAAACACAAACTAAAATGGAAACCGCAACTAGCGAAAACTCCGTTTGGCACGCTGAATCATTGAAAAGTAGGTGCTGCAATACAAGGGAAGGAATGGCTTCTTAAAGTTAGATTTCAGTAATCTTGGTATTGCAATCTTTTGTGTTACCGGTCCAGCAACACAAGGGAAGGACTGACGAGTTTGGATGTGACGCCATGTAATTGAAGTAGTAGGTTTGGTAGTTATGGCTAAAAAACACGAGGTTGGTGTCTAAGAACAGCGTTGACTGTCTGCTAAGCTGAGTGAAATTCTTCTTTTTTTGTTTTTGAACGATTAACAGTACTATCAATTGGGAAGCAATCATCAACTAACTGGGAGTAAATTAGATGAATTTATTCATACTCTTCGGACTGAAATTTGAGAATCATACAGCAAGAACTAGAAGTCACTGAATTACAGTAGTACAATTGTATTATTATTACGACCATGTCGTGGTGGTAGGCAGGCAATAAAAGAGCGTTCATAATTTAGCATGGCTTCTGAGATTTTCCGTGGCTTCTTTAGCATGGTCAGGCACAGGCAAGTTGCACAAGAGAGTAACCCTTGACGATGATACCAATGATTTGGAGGACTCTGTGTTAGAAGGATCAGCTAATTTCCAGATTCGTACCTCCCACACCTGTATCAGGGTGCATCTTAATGGTTTTCCCTTGCTAACGCTGAAGGAAGTGAAGGGAAGGGAGGGGGATTATGTACCTGGATGGTTTTGCCTATACTGAAGGGAGTGGCTTCGGCGAGGACAAGGTCTCCAAGGCGGGCGCTTTTCACATGATTGATGCTCAGGTGAATCCCAGCCACTCTTTGCAATCCCGATGCCATGTGGGCCCCTATGCTAGCCATCGCTTCCGAAATCAACGCCGATACTCCGCCGTGTAATACCTTGAACGGCTGCTCGATGGCCGGCCAGCCCATTTCCAAGAAGAAAATTATGAGCTCTCCATTTCGGCAATTTTAACATATTGAAATCAAATAAAATTCCTCTTATATATGGATTATAATGAGAGAGAGAAAGGAGGAGAGTGACAGACCTGGACGCACTTGGGAGTAACAAGCAGGCGACCAGTGACCTTTTGAGGGGACAATTCTTCAATTTGGAACCCAAAGGAATGCAGAGGAACGTCAAGACTTTCTTTTTTGGAAGAAGAGGAAGAGGAAGAGGACGATGAAGATGATGATTGCTCCATCAAAATCTATAACAGTACAAAAGCAAAAACACTACCAGTCCCTTTTGAGACCGGAAGATAAAAAGGATGGAGGAAGGATAGTCACAGACCACTCTGCTCACTGTTGCGTGGGCTGTGGATTTTGACTTATGTGACGTTTTTGTTCTCGAAGGTAGATTTTCCTATTCTGCTGGGATCAATGTATTTATAGTTTTTATTATTATTATTTTAACAGAATTAAATCTCACCGCGATACGAGTAATTACTGTTTTGAAAATATTGTGTTTTAAAATTTTTTTAGTTGAAATATATTGAAATAATATATATTTTTAAAATTTTAAAATTTAGTTTTTATATTATAACATCAAAATAATTCAAAAATATAAAAAAATTAAAGTTTTTCAATAATACGATTCAACCACTTTCAAACATACTCTAAATATATAATAACTAAGAAAATTGAATTATTTTAACTATTTATACTTAGTTTTATTTTATAAAAATTAATAAGATATTTTAAATGTTTAAATTAATATTTAATTAAATTACTTGAATTTATTTTATTTTATTTCAAAAATGCATCTTCACATATTTTCTTATTACAAATAAGTTGAATTACCTTTCATTTTAAAAACATATACTAATGAATTTTACACCCAAATCATTTTCTATATTAGTCTCCGAACTTTTATTATTTTTTAATTATAGATTTTTATTATCTCTTAATTAAAGAAATGCATGGTATTAGGGTAGGTAAGAACTTAATAAACGAATGCTGTGTTAGGTGATTGTAGCCTGTCTGCATAAATGACACAGTTTAATCCGTATCTCAAAATTGAATGAATGAGTATTTTTTTAAATTTATTGATAATAAGTAAAGCAGATATATTTTAAAATATTATTGGAAATCTTTACAAACCTAACTTAATATACACACACACGAATAATATTTATCATTTTATTTATACATATGCATGCTTTAAATATATATTAACTATTTTAATTTTTATTAATTAATAAATAATAATAGATAATAGGTTGCTTTTTGCATCTAAACCTTGATGAATAGCTTGTTGGTATATAATTTTTTTTGATACTAGATAATAGGTTGCTTTTTGTATCTAAATCTGGATGAATAGCTTGTTGGTTTATAATTTTTTTTATAATAAATAAAACATAAATATTAAAAAAATCTGATTTGCAAGTATCCTTTGTCGTAACTAATTGGGTGTTCTCTATTTATAAATACCAAAGGGTACTTTCCCCTTGTGACTTTATAGTCTTTGGTTGGTGGGGCCGGCTGCAGCCTTGAAAATAAAAGACAGCCACACTCCCGTCTTGGACCGTTATGTTTTCGTGCCCAACTAACCATCTTTTAC